GTGGGGGTTTGTGGACATGCACACATGTCTGTGCATTCACCTACACATGCACACTCATGTCTGTCTGTGTAATACATATGTATGTGTGTGTGTGAGAGAGAGAGAAAGTAAGTAGAGGGGAAGGGGAGAGAGAGAGAGAAAGAGAGAGGCAGGCATCTCCCACTGGTCTAAATGCTTCTTTGCCCTCTTGTAAAGATGTTCCCTTGTTAGTTGTCTATTTTTACTGTCTTTTAATACCACACAGCCATGAAAAGTGCAGACAAGGTAATTTTCCACATCCCAAAACACCTGCATTTTAGAAGACAAAGAACTTGCCAGGGGTGGCAGACCAGTAAGAAGTTAGCTTGTCTGATGTGATATTCAAATTTGTGTCTCCAATGTCAGGCCAATAGGCCAAAGGGTTTTTTTTTCCCTTCCACAGTTCTTTTCAAGCTAAGGAAAGCTTCTGAAGGCGACATGTATAAAACTAGTGAAAAGAAAAAAGTCCAAAGTTAGTGAGGCTTAGCCATTTTGCCATATAAATGTTTCTGTGAATTCAGTTTACAGTTAATTTAGTATTTTAAATCTAGTTATGCTTACATTAATTAGGTTTAATTTGTATAGTATCAATTAATTCACATAATTGTATCTTCTTTAGTTTTTATTTATTTTCATAAATGGATAAAAACCATGTAGTTTTTGTTCTGGAAGGATGACTTTTTGCTGGGGTAGACAGGATAGACACCAGTTTATTTCTCTTCTTTACATAATCAGTAAGAGACCATGTAGATGAGTATGGACTGGGTGAACTTGAAATAAAGTGTGTGTGTGTGTGTGTGTGTGTGTGTGTGTGTGTGTGCGTGTGTGTGTGTGTGTGTGTGTGTGTGTGTGGTTTTTATTGATCTAAACTATGTGACGCTAAAGCCATATTCTGATATCCAGCAGCATACACCATGAACATTTTTTATAAACTTTGAAATATTATAGAGTAAGCAGCCAGGAATTAGGAGCAATGTCAAGCCAGACAAAATCCACAAGTCTCTCTTTTTCAAACACAATCACCAAATGTGTGCACAAAAATGTATTTTGCGGATTTATTACACCTGAATTTGGAGTTATTTTTAATATGCTGCTTCATGCAGCCTAACTTGCAAAATCAGTAGAGACAGTTAAAGACATAGCAAAGAGCAAAAATGGATAGCAACATATGAGGCTGAAAGGAGATATATGGTGGGAAGATGCAATGTTCAATGTTAGGTCCGTTCACATTTGATATACATATATTAATGACCAGCAAGACAGAAGAAACCACAGATGACAACAAGGTTCTGGTTGTGCCCATCTCTGTACAGGTGGCCAAGTGAAAGAACCAAACTTTGGTTTGAGAGGACCAAACTGAAGAACTTTCACTTACCCGTCTGCAAAACGTGAGTAAGAAAGCTAAGCAGAGAGTGAACTAAGCCTGAGGAAAGTTGAATGAGTCCAAAAGTTTGCACAGAAAGATTTTTTTTTTTTGCAATTTCTTAGTTGGTCTACTAAAAGGTATCAACTCTGAACCAAGCATTTTAGAGTTCTGCATTTCTTTTTGTCTCAGACCAACACAGCTACCCATAGGTGATGCGTAAGGGCAGCATGGGGGGACACTTGTCCCCCCTGAGATTGGCCACCACTGCCTTCTCCAGGCAGTTGCCGCTTGCCACTTGCCCCTCCCCTCTTCGCTGCTGATGCGACCAGTGGTGTCTGTAGACAGTCCCTGCTTGCTGCCCCATGCCCGCACCGCCGACAGCAGCTGTGGGTGGTTTCTGCTTGCTGCCGCTGGTGGCGGCAGGCAGTCCCCACTCACTACCCACCACCATGGTGCCCCCCCAGTCTCAGGAGGCACCAGTTATTCATGTGGCTACCAAATACATCCCCATAAATACTATTCGGTGCTTTCTAAAACACTCACTGGGACAACATATGGCTTTATACTTTTCATAAGGACACATGCCCATCAGGTACAACATGCTTCTCTATTAAGATGAAGAAGTGAAATGAAGACCCATGAGAGCAACGGTACCACAGAGGTTAGAAAAATATGACAGTGATTAGTTGTGAGATAGTGCTTATGCTAAGCAAGGCCTAGCATAATGAACAACGCACTAAAACTCCCAGAATGCTTTAAGGAGGTTGAGAAGTCAGCGACTGACATTTTGGTGACCGCTATCTGACCCTAAGGTGAAAATGCTACTATGACAACTTGTTAACTGCAATGACAAAAATTGCAGGTAGCAACCTGCAAGCCTTGACCTTTTAACCCACTAAGGACAGCAACATATATAGATGAATAATGTATTTAGGTCACTAAGGATTAACATAAGAAGTGTAAAAAATTATAATAAAGAGCGTATCACCTGATGTTATGATGTAGATGAGTTAAGTAGTAACCAATAGAAGTAAGAATTAGAAATACATATGTATATTTGTTATCATATATAAGTGATAGTAAAGTTATGTTAGATGCCTCACTCAGAGATAGAGTGTGGACAGTTTTGTATCTTTGCCTAAAAAAAGATAAGGGACTCCTTTTTAAATGAGCTGTTGACCAGTTCTGAGACTACTATATTGGGCAGCCGCACCTAGCCTTCGGGTTAGAAAGCAAGGGCCTGATTTGGGAACCTCGTGAACCAACAGACCCCCTTAGTTTATGACTTTGTGAAACAATAAAAGTCTTAAATTGAACCTCCAGGTCTGAATCTGTGCTTAATTCAGTCCTTATATAATTTGGCACGAACTCACACATTAGTGAAAGAGAAACTCAACCTGGAAACCACTGGCTTACACATCTGGGCAAAATTCATCAGAAATTCGTCCAGATGGGGATAGCAAGAAACCAGCAATGCAGAGGCACAGAATCACTGAATCATAGAAAAACAGGGATGGAAGGGACTTCCAGAGGTCATTTAATCAAACCCCCTGCCCAAGACAGATCATCCTTATCCAAACCATCCTGTACAAATTCATTGTCTAACCTATTAGCAAAACTACACATCCATCCCTGGCAGAACCATATACACCTCTGGGTGATGGTGGGCTGTAAATTAAATAGAAGTTTACTATATAATAAAGCAGCAAAGAGTCTTAGGGCTGCCCTGTCTTAAACAGCTACCAGTGCCTTTCCAGTGTCTGCCAAGGAGCAATAGAGAAAAAAGGAGCATGAGCCACACTCCCTCAGAAGTTGGGCACAAGAGGCAGTACAGGTGCCACGACAGCAGCCTCATCCCACCACAGAATTGTCCTGCTTTAGAGAAATCTTCTACTCAAAGTTAGGAGCAAAACCAAGGCATACTTTCCATGGCCAGGAGAATCAAAAAAATATTTGCTAAGGGTTAGATTTGCAGACTGCGGTAAAGCACCCTGCCACCATTTTTAAGTGCGGGGATGCTAATACATGAGATGCAGGAGGCTGCTGGAGGACGGTAATTACCACACTCCAGCAGACTCAATTAATTGAGTAATTACAGTGCGTAGGAGCAGACTCCCCACTTGTGTACAGGCACCCTGAGAACCAGATCTTAGTCCACTTACAAGGCATGTAAGGGAATTTAGATGCCTAACTGATTCTATTCTACCCTGCTCAGCTCTATGAAAAACAGTAAACACAAATGGTTAATTTTTGGCCCTCCTGCTTCCTGCTTCTTGTGATTTACACTAAAACTAAGATAGTGGCATGTTACAGAAACAAATGCATAACATGTTTTCAGGCACTCAAGCAAAGTGGAGTAGGAACACACTTAGGCACCTACCAGTAAGTCTACCTAGGCACCTAATAGGTAGAATAGGATCTAACTGGTCGATGGAAGAAATGCCTTATTTTACGTGCGTTTCTAGTGTTTCATGCAATGGATCCTCACACTCTCTTGGGAGTGCTAGGTGCTAAGCTAATGCAATACATAATGATAAAAAAATAACAATATTGGGATAATCTGGAGTCCATATGAGTGAGAAGTACTCGGCACAAAATTTTATAGCGAAGTTTCTACCCTTAACCTGTGTTTAGCTACTGTGAATTGTGCTGGAGAGTTGCTGGAAAATGCCTCCATTTTTAAATAATTACATTATTCTTTTCCTTCGTATCATTCCTTGAGCTCTTTATTCAAATAAAATGCTAATATGGGGAAATACAAAGGGATATTATATAGGAAATCCAAATGAATCCTTAAATACACCAAAAGGAGTGTTTAGGGAGATATCCAGAATATGGGCAGCATTGGATAGGAGCCCTTAAGCAGAGATCTGTTCTGACTTGTTTGAAGAAAAATCATAAGGCATTGGATATACACAAGCAAAATCTCCAAATGTTTAGAAAAATCCGTTTAATATGGCAGTCTACTGGAGCTTGTAAACTCCATTTTAATACTAACAAACAGCTTCAATGTCCCCACAAAATGAATTCAGACATGAATCCTTTTATTAACTATGGTGCAGTGTCACTTCTTTTGTAGTTAAGGTTTGGAAACCATTTTTGCTTAAAAGTTGACTGTCTAAGTGTTCCAAAATCTACAAGCTTGCTCATGTTGCCCTGACATTTTGTCTGATTTATAGTTCTGAAGTGTAGGGTTAGTGTGTGCTACATATGGTGTTATTTGAGCCACAGATCAAGATATAGTCCTCACCTTCCCACAAAAATCCAAATTTTCTAAAAGTTGACAGATTCTACACTGTTTCTACCTGTGGACCAGACACCTGGCTCTGAATGATGACCTTAATACTTGCCTTTTACCCTAGTTGATATCTGGAGTGAAGGAAGAGGAACAAAGTCAGGTGGGTTCAGGTCAGAAAGAAGTGGTGGAAGGAACACTGGGAAGACTGACATTGAGGTAGAAAGGAGGTAGAAAGCAGAAATTAGTCCCAGATTCTTCCCTTCTTTGTGTCTAGGAGCCACAGCATAATGCAAATGTAAATCTCTGAAAACCAGGAAAGACCCATGAATGGGACTGGAGAGCTTGTAGGAGGGACAGTAGTGACTGGGATAATTTGGAATATGGTGGGACAAGGCTTGGCCAAAGCAAGGGTAGGGAAAAAAGCTAGATGGATGGCAATTTGGGTCACTGGTGAGTTTGACTGTACAGCTCTGGCAACATAATCTAAGAATTGTATGACCCCCTCTTGTAAGTGATGTTAATTTAATAGGACAGGAGAGGAGGGAAAACTAGAGATGCAGAAGCCAGTTATATATTGTGAGGGATTCTAGGAAAGAAGTATGGAGAAGGAGACAGAGTCAGCAGTCTTATCTGACATGCTTAAAATCAGTGTAGCCAAAAAAAATTCTGTAACGAACATGGGATATAACTGTCAAGCTTTTAGGGTACAGACCCTATCTATGGTTTCTCTGTTAGCAAAAGCACACTCTAAATATTTCAAAGTGTGACAATAATCCCCATTCCCTTATACTAAATTGGCCCTTTAGAAGAATATTTAGGAATTGCATAGCACCCTTTACTTTTAGTTGGTCACAGCAACATGTCAATTGCAAACCTATATGAAAAGAACCACTGTGTAATAGATCTCTTAGGCCTCTGACATACATTACACTTAAGATGCAATTAACAGGTTAATCACACCCTAAACAGTAACCTGGCCACATGTGCAAGTCAATTTAAGACATAACAAGAGAGTGAACAAACCACAAAGCTATTCCACATATAACGTGGAATAACTTTGTGGATCATTTGTATCATACCTTAAATTGAATGTGTAGCCACCATCAGCCACACCCAGATCCCAGGGTCCCCATGCTTAAGGATGAGTAAAAACCCTGTCTGTCGCCCAGCTGGGTTGCACACAGAGTTTATGCAGCTCTTGGTGTGCAGGAAGGCCGGCATAGGGGTGCTGCAAACCAATGTCAGGTTCCCAGTGCACTGGGAGCAATGAAACAACATGTACTACCACATGTACTACCCAGTTGAACAACACACAGGTTTTGAACACATCTTAATGTGTGGGAACCCAGCATCAGACTGCCACAGCATGCTGGGTTCCCACTGCATCAGGAGCTTAGCTGAGTTGCACATAGCTTTTTATTCATCCCTCGATCTCTGAGACCCCAGGATCAGACTGGGACAGCCTGATCCCAGCGTCCCTGTGCCCCCTGTCCTGTCCCCCACCACCTGCGTGCCCCCCCTGCCCTGGGTTGGGTTTTTGACAATCAGCTGAATGTTGGCTGGGGCCAGTTTGGTTCCCAGCCCCAAATGACAAATCACCTAATTGTCAGTACCCCATTTCATCCTGCTCATGCAGGAGGATCCCAGGCTCCTGATCCCAGGTTCTCCGTGCACCAGCTACTAAGAAATATTAGCATCTAATCCCCAATTCCAAAATTCCACATCCTGCCATGTATTTGTGGTGTGGCAGAAGGAGTGATTGTTGGGACTGCAGATCAGATCCCATCACATGTTAAAGTGAAGGTCTATCAGGGGCTCCAGTCTTACCCCACTCACTGCTTACTTCTTGCCTTTCTTTCTAGCCCTACAAAATTTCAGGCACATTTTTTGCTCATAATTACTTAAGCCCCCAAATTACATGACTTTGATATCAAAGTCTATAAAGGCATAGCTTCTGAAAAATGAATCTTAATGCTACAAACCCAATGCAGAAACTGTTCAGTTCTTAAGGAATTCAAGGAATAAGTTTTCTGAAATGCTTCTTCTTGTTAAAATGTTACAAATTAAACTTGTGGAACAACTACTATCTGTTACCATGGTATATCAACTAGAATGAGAGCCAGGATCATTTTTGGTAACTAGTATATTTGTCAAAATATGTTTTCAATCATCCCAAATCATTAGACAGGTCAGGTTGAATTTACCAAACAGTTTCAACTAAAACAGAAGTTTTGTGAATCTATACCTAGAAAACTACCAGTAGAGGTGATGATTCCTCTCCCCTTTCTCTCAACAGGCACAGGGTTAGAGGCACTCACTTAGTATGTGGACCTTGGATTCAATTTCTTCCTTTTTCTGAGAAGGCCTGAACCCACATTTCCCACCTCATAGGAAAGTGTCATAACCCCTGTGCCATAGTGAAAGCTGTCAATGTTTCCCATTGAGAATTTCTATACTTTATAAATATTTAAACTTTTATAGGAGCAGGAGATGGAACGCAAACATCCTCGTTGCCACGACAGTGTCCAAACACTAAATTAAAGAGTCATTTTCACCCTCTGTCATCATGTTTAATGTGTTTATTATTATATGATCTGGAAAAGTATCTTCACAAGAGACTGAGATAGACCCAGCTCAGGTGACCATATTTTCTATTTAGGAAACTCAGTAGAGAGGTAGGACACTGTTTCAAAACCTTGTCCTACCTTGAGTTTAAAGTGGATTTAAGTTTGGGTTTCCTCCTACCATGTAAGTGGCCTCACCACTGTGCTGGAACATATTCTAAAGTAAGTCTTCCACAGTCCCACCAACTGACACTGTTCCAGCACAATGTGATTGCAGAGCTGCTAGCCATTATTATTATCCTGGCAATTAGAAGAGGTCCTGGATGATCAGAAGAGGTCAAATGGTGCCTATATTTAAGAAAGGGAAGGAGGATCCAGGAAACTACAGACCGGTCAGCCTCACCTTAGTCCCTGGAAAAATCATGGAGCAAGTCTTTAAGGAATCTACATCTAAGCCCTTGGAGGAGGAGAAGATAGTGATTAGGAACAGTCTGCATGGATTCACCAAGGGCAAGTCATGCCTGACCAGCCTGATTGCCTTCTATGATAATGGCTCTGTGGATGCAGAGAGTGAAGTGGACATGATATACCTTGACTTTAGCAAGGTTTTTGATACAGTCTCCGACAACATTCTTGCAAGTAAGCCAAAGAAATATGGGTTGGATGAATGGACTGTAAAGTGGATAGAGAACTAGGGCTGCCAGGCTCTGGAACGGGCTCCCAAGGGAGGTGGTGCTCTCTGGGGGTCTGCAAGAGGAGGTTCGATAGATATATAGCTGGAGTATTATGATCCCAGCACTTGTTCCTGCCCAGGTCAGGGAGTTGGACTTGATGGTCTGTTTAGGTCCCTTCTGACCCTAGAAACTATGAACTGGTTGCATTGTTGGGTTCAAGGAATAATAATCAATGGCTCGATGTCTAGTTGGCAGCTGGTATCAAGTGGTGTGCCACAGGGCTCAGTCCTGGGGCCAGTTTTGTTCAGTATCTTCATCAGCGACCTGGAAGATGGGTTGGAGTGCATGCTCAGCAAGTGTGCAAATGAGACCAAGCTGGGGGGAGTAGAGTAGGTACACTGGAGGGTAGGGCTAGGATTCCGAAAGACCTCGACAAATTGGAGGACTGGGTCAAAAGAAATCTCATGAAGTTCAGTAAGAAGATTATGGGATTGTTGGGATTCCATGGGATTATTTCATCCTAAATGCAAAGTTCTGCACTTAGGATGAAACAGTCCTATGCACTGGTACAGGCTGGGGACTGATTGGCTAAGCATCAGCTCTGCAGAAGAGGACCTGGGGGTTACAGTGGACAATAAGCTGAAAATAAACCAACAGTGTGCCCTTGTTGCAACAAAGGCTAACTGTATACTGAGCAGGACTGAGGCATTGGGCTGAGAAATCTGTGGGTCTGGGACCTGCCCCTGACCAGGACAGTTCCTGGTTAGCCCTGTGCTGTGCAGAGAAATCTACACATGCAGCCAGGAGCTAGCCTGGGGACTTGCCCAAACAGAACAGTCCCCAACCACCTCCAGGCTGCATGTGAAGACTTCGCTGGGCAGCCCGGGGCTGGCCAGGAACTATCCTGGGTAGGGGAAGGTTTCAACCAGCTCCAGGCTGGATGGGAAACTCTCCCAATGCAGCTGTCAGCTCCCAGCCCCTGCTCCGTGATCATGGAGTGGGGCCTGGGACCTCCCTACCAGGCCAGGGGGACATTGTCCCCCTCTGGGGCTATATTGGTAGAGCCTGCCCCAGTAGCAGGCAGCTCCCAGAGACAGGGACCAATCTCCTGCCTCCTGCTGTCTGGCTGACCAGGAGCAAATTTGCTCCCTGTCAGCCATCTACATATGCCATACTGCTCAGTTATTACTCAGCAGTTAATTTGCTACTTGCATTTGCAGGCAGCAAATTAACAGCCAAGTAGAGCAAATTAATGTGCAGTAAGAATGAGCATGTGTAGATGATGACATTTACTATGCAATCATTAGTTCTACTGCACAGTAAAGCATTTCATGTAAATCCACTCAGAGTGCATCCACACATGCAAGCACATGCGCTTGCAGCAGCTCAAATAGAAGCAGTGCAAATCTGAGCCGGGGCTTTTTGCCTCGGCTCATGTGCTTGGTCAGACACTTTGTTGTGGAGCAAATTGTGTCACTTAGGGCAAAATAACCCTGCCTAGCTCCTCCTGGATCTTCAGCCAGGGGGAGCTAGAGCCCGGGGCCAGCACCTGTGCTGTCCCCAGCAATATAAAAAAGCTGCCCTGTCCTGGCCCCAGCAGTATAAAAAGCCACCCTGGCAAGTAGCTCAGGACTACTAGCTCTCAGGAGCTTCTGGGGCCCAGCCAATTGATTCCTGGGGATACTACCCCTTGTGCCAGCTGGACTGCTGAAGCAGCCTTGAGACTTACCTGCACCCTCTATCCACTGCAGCAGTCTGGCAGTGGGGACTACTGCCTAGCTGTGATCTGCTGTGCACCAGCCCAACTTGGATGGGGACTGCAGAGCCAGTAGAGGCATCTGCCCCTCTGGGCCAGCTACCAGTGGACTGTGGTTGCAGGGTTGGCCTTTGTGCGGCACAACTGCCATTTGTGCCCCCTGCCCAGCCATCTGAGCAGCTATTACCCAGAAGATGCTCTGGGTGTGGTGGCCTGCTTTGAACTGTCAAAGCCTGTCCAGGAGGTCAGCCACAGCCAGATGGGTCCAAGGTGCCAGCTCTGAGCAAGCAGGGTCCTGCCACTGGCCTCCCTAGCAGGAATTCTGGTGCTCCCTATTGGAAAACTGAAAAATCCCTGATCAAAAAAATCCCAAAGTCACTCTCTAAAATATCCACAAATCCATGTTCCTCCACAAGTAAAACAAAAGACCACTATAAAGAGAGAGACAGCGATCAGTTGGACAATGTTTTGTTGATATACCTACAGTGTTAAAGCAAGTCTCTTATCATAATAATAAAGTGAACTCTAAATACAGGTTTCATGAATACATATTTTGCTGCCCTCCCACAGGATGATGGCTCCCACACAAGGGCTATGGCCTCCCAACAGGGGGTTTGGCCC